AGCTGTATTTTGTTGCTCTCATGAGCAGCGGCCTAAATGCTTTAGGTGTATGTTCAGTGTGTTGAAATTCAGGCTTTACAGGTCCATATCACGCATTTGTCTTCCATTTTATTTTGTACCCTTAAGTTCACTTATAACATTTGTGTGGTTTTATATACCAAAAACATTTTCCATGATGTTCTTCCAACCTCTTTTATTCTTTAGAATAAATCATTGTGTTTCTTGTGCCTTTACAACTGATATATGTTAATGACTTCTGTTCTGACTGGCTGCCCTATATCGAGCCTCATTCAGTCTGGGCTGAAACACTCCTTATAACTTAAGCCTGAATGGGAGCTAAAGGCTATAGGCTGAAGTAAATGCATTGTTTTTTTGTGATTTGACAGAAACTTCTGAAAAACACCCTGTTTTTGCAGTTTAGTTTCCATATATTAACTGTATGAATTGGGGAGTAAATGGAACATTTTGAAACTGTAACAGTGTTTACATGCTATGTCAAACTCTCTTATTTCAAAAAAGTAAGGAAAATTAGGTTTTCCAGGATATGAGCCCTTAAAGTTGCAAACATTGTATTTTTGGCCCATATTAGTCTTCTCATGGTAAGAATGCTGGACTGGAATCAGTTTATGCCCATTCCATAGAAGAAAATTTGTTACATGGACTGATTTTAGATCAGTGTTTTTACACTTGATAAATTTGGACCATAGCTATATTTTGATGCCTGCATGACCAGCTCTTAGCGGCCTAAGGGCTCTATTTTCGTGCAGGGGCAAATACAAGTGCAGCTTAGTGATACAGCACTGGCAACATGGCTTAGAGATGGACCTTGAATTTGAGCTCAGAATGCAGTTGAGAACGAAACACAGAAATAACCAGAGGAAAAGAGTTTCTATGAAAAAATAAGTCTTAGCTCAAAACCTTAATAAGAAAAGACTGTAAAATAATACAGTCCATGTATCCCTAACTATTTTGGTTCTTACGGAACATTTCACATCAAACCATACATTTTCTTAATCGTATAATTATGCAGTAATCTGTGGAATTCACGTATACTGTGTCTTTGACCCCAGCTGTATTTTGATACCCTCATGACCTGCCTTTAGCAGCCTAAGGGCTCTATTCCACCCATGTGCAAGCACTCTTTAGTGCTACAGAGCTGGGGTTATGGTTTAGAGGCTAGGCTTGACAATAACAGTGAAAATGAAACCCAGATGCAAAAAGAAAAAGATGTTTTAGGCCAAAACCTTAATTCGAAACAATTATCAATGTACGCAAGTGATTAGTCACCATTTAGCATAATAACTTTGTGATATAGCTTTTAGAAGCATTTAACTCTTCAGACATCTGCTTCCTATCACCAATACTGTAAAGAATTCTGATTCTAGAATGGTGCATTTCACATCAAACCACTCTGAATGACATTTTTTGCGCATATTTAAATTATGCAGAAGTCGTAATTACCCTTTAAGTAGCGATGCTATATGTATTTGCTGCTCTCACGACGAGTTCTTAGAGGCCTAAATGTTCCAGACATATGTTCAATGTCTATAAATGTAAAAGTTTTAGTGGATTTGAAGGTTTTTCAATCACTTTCTGTTTTTTTTCACTCCAACTGACTTAGGTGATCAGATACAGTTAACTAGAGAATACTGTATCTTTGACAATAGCTGTATTTTATCACCCATGTGACCAGCTTTTAGTGGCCTTAGAGCTCTATTTTCGTGCAGATGCAAGCACAGTTTAGTGAACAATGCAGCTGAGACCAAAGACAGTGTAAGAAAAATAAGTTTTAAGGCCAAAACCTAAACAAAAAACAACAGTAAAACAATGCAGTTAATGTAGCCGTAACCATTTTATGTAATAACAATGCTTCAGATGCCTGGTTCCTATCGCCAATACTGTGAACAATTCCACAACACGTCCAATTCAAATCATACCACCCTGAATGACTTTGTTTACACCTTACCAATTTAATTGTGAAGAATCGAAATTCCCCTTTAAATCATGAAGCTTGAATCTTTGACCACCACTGCATTTGTTGCCCTCATGACCAGTTCTTAGCAGCCTAAACGTTCCAGACATATGTTCAGTGACTAAACATTCACAGGTTTTACTGGATTGGAAGGTTTTTCAGCCACTTTCTGTTTTTACCACAGATCTGTCCTATTGCTCTACTCTCTTGATCTTGATAAAGGGCTGGTGAAAATAACACTGCTCTGTTAGCACAGGGCTGTTATTCTTGGCGTATTCTTAAGCAACACAGAAGTGTTTGGCCTGCTGCTTTCAAATGGTTGATCAAAGCCCTCTTCACAGCATTTACCTATTTATGAGACGTAGGCTGACACACTGCATTATTTATTTGTAACATTTTCTTATACACATTTTCCCTTCTTATCTGGCTTCATCTTCCAGATTAGCTTTTACGATTTGAGGGTTAATTATAGTGTGGCCATTTAGACTTGTTTGATGAATGTGAATCTGAATGTGCTGTACGTCCTCACTAACCTTCACTGAGCGAATAGTACACATGAGTGCACGCTGCAGCGTAGAACACATTAATCACAACTTCAGCATTTTTTTTCTGACATGGTTACAGCCATGACAGCATGTTCGCCCTCTCTGAGAAAGCGCATGAAGAATGGTCAGAGGCTACGCATGATTCTTCCCCTGCCTCAGGATCTGGTGGTATAGAACAGTAATGTGCATGCCGGGCATCCAGTGTGCAGAGCCCCATTAGAAACTAGTGGTGCTGCAGCACAACAAAGTGATGCTTTACTGTCTCTTTAACCTCTGTGCATTTTTCTGTCCTAGAAAGATCTCATATTCTGTTATTGTATATGAGGTCTGCAGGTCAGCATTAAAGGAATTCTTCAAAATATTTCAACCTAATCTCTATCTGCCACATCTGTAGCATAGAATTGATTATAATGAAAAATTATTATGCTGTACTTAGACAAGAACAGAAAAATAGTTTACCCAAAAGACCTTATAATAGAAGTCAATTAGGCAGACGCTCGAGTCACTGGGTTTTCTGCTCTTTTACTAAGCATAGGGAAATGTGTCAATAGTTTTTAGCGATGAACCAATCCGGATCAGGTATTGGCCCCTGCTGGACCAAGCTACTATCAATACTGCTTTAGACACAGTCACTCTTAAATGGAAGAGGGTCGTTCCAAATGCAATATACATCAAATTCCCACTTCATTCTTTTATTAATGGAACTGAAAGTTCTATTTACAGGTAGTAATTATGAATGATCCCATTACAGGCAAACGTGTTATGAAATTAATATTTCTCCGCAAACATGAAATGCACAATGTTTTTCTCAACAAATCACTGCATGTCAAAATAAAAGCGCAGTGCATGAGAGCTTTTCCAATTCTGTATTGCTTCACACATTTAACAATTTAGACTTTTACCTTCTTATCAGTTTGATGTACACTCTTTAAAAGCAGGTGCCACAGAACGTACCATTTTAGTACCCTAAAGAAAATAAGATGTGTGAACCTTATAAAAGGTATAAAGAACCTTCACATTAAGGTTCTTTACCAGTCTTAAGGGTTCTTCGTAGAGCCTTTACATCATGTGCAGGTACTTTAATGTTTGAAAAGATTCTTCACACTCACACATTTACAAAAATGGCTTTCTAAAGAATCATCCACTTAATGGACAAAAACATTTCTTCTATGGCAAATAACCCTTTCTAGCACCTTCATTTTTGGGTTAATAAATCTGATTTTTGGGTGATTTTGAGATGATGAAGTGATAATTAATATATCTAAAGTGATCAATAAGACGTTGTTGCCCTAAAATAAATTATTAAAATTAAAATATATGATTGAACACAAAATACTTCATCAGTGTGCCTTATTTTAAAAGTCCTGAATTGCTGAAATCTCTTAAAACACATATCATGTTTTAGAATGCGCCCTTCAACTGCAACAGCATTATATAAGATACGCACATTTTAAATTGAAGAAGAAAAAATGATCGGCTCAGTATCGGCCAATAACCTGAATCAGTATCGGTATCAGCAGAGAAAAGGCTGTATCAGTAATCAACTCTACGCACACAGAGATTACACTCGAGTATTATTTTCATTTCCTCCTTTTGAGAAGATCCCAACCTCACTATGAGCATTTCATCCTGTTCTTATGCCGTATTTCACACTAAAGCACATCAAACTGCTTAGTGCATAGTACACAAACTTCACACACAGGATAATCCAGAGCAATAAATAAGTAAATAAAACAAACAAACAAATAAATAAATAGAGTGTCTGTCATAATGTCATTAACCTGTTCAGAACCACACGTGCCACTGATTCTTTATTCATAAGTCATACAACACACTCACAGCTGAACGTGAAGCATCAGTGAAGATCAATGTAGCCCCATATCAATTATTTAAGACGTGATACATTAAAGCTCGAGATAAACCCAGCCCTGAGGAAACAGCAATATTAGCCTACTGACAGAGTGCAGCCCACCGATCACAGAGCCTCCCTCCGCAGCCAGGCTTTCTGCTGTAGGACACCAGCCTTTTACCGGCTGTACAATGAAATCAACACCCCCCTCGTCCACAGACACCTCCAGCACCGGCTGTACCTGCACATTCCGTGCTCCTTTTTTCCGCGAGGACATCAGTTCCTACCCTCCTCTACCCCTCCGAGCTCCAACACCGCGCTTGCGTAGCGCGAGGAACAAAACCCACAGCGCTCGCGGTTCACTTGTAGTATGTTTTTTATGTACATCCTGCAACATGGAGCTGAAACTGGCAGATCACGCCTTACCCTGCATGCCCAACCCTCCCTCCGCATCCATCGGCGAGTTTGCACCACTGCAGCGTTCAACCAGCGAGCACGCGCTGCCGACGAGTAATAGAGCCGTGAAAGACCAGCGGCTCGCGCGCGCGCCCGCCCGCCCGTTTATGCCCTTTGTTTTTCTATTTAAACCGGACTGAAGATGAAAAGAACATGCGAGGATGGAACATGTACAAACCTCCGCTCGCGGCTCCAGGCTCCTCACTCGTGTGTGGCTCGAGAGACTGCTCCTCCTGTACGGTCTCCAGCCTCCCCCTCCCTCCTCCCTCCTTCTCTCCATCCATCCCTCCGTCCCTCCCTCCCTCCTTCCTTCCCTCCTCCCTCCCTCTGGGCTGCTCCTCACTACCGCCCCCCTCTCCAGCAGCGCTCCTGCACTCCAGTGTGTGGAACAAAAAGCTGCTGGAAATGACGGTGATCCTGAGTGGGGTTGAAATAACAAGTTATGTTATTTTATGCAAATAAGGGCAAACACATCGCACCATGCACAGTGAAACCAAATCGCACCAAATACAGTGAAATTGCTTCATTCAACATGATTCCCATAGGAATAGAATATATCACAGCACAATTTTCTCTTTCATGCAACTTTACTCTGGTCATAATTGTGTTTACTATTTTGTATTTACGTGGAAATTATACACACACTCACCATGTGACAATGTGGTGCTGTGGCAAACTGAGAAACTGCCCTTCATTTATTTAATTTCCATAACTACAGTTCCTCCACACCAAATCCGCCAGACCATGTCTTTATGGAGCTCAATTTGTGCACAGGGGCACAGTCATGCTGGAATAGGAAAGGTCCTTCCTCAAACTCCTGCCACAAAGTTGGAAGCCCTTGTCAAAAATGTCTTTGTGTGCAGTGGCATTATCATTACCCTTTACAGGAACTAAGGGGCCCAAACCCTGAAAAACAGACCCAGACCACTATCCCTCCTCCACCAAACTTTAGTCCTGGCACTTTGTATTCTGGTAGGTAGTGTCCTCCTGGCATCAACCAAACCAAGATTCATCCACCAGACTGGCAGATAGTGAAGCATTATTCATCACTCCAGAGAACACATTTACACTGCCCCAGGGCACTGGGTGTGGCTGAATGACATTAATTTAATTGGGAGGGGTGTCCACATACTTTTATCCATGTGGTGTACTTCTGAGGGTATTACAGATAAAATAATCCATTTGCATAAGGAAGGGCAAAGTCAAAAGAAAATAAACAAAAACAGAGCTTCCAAAACTAGAGTGGAAACATGATTAAAAGGTACAGAGAAAATGGGATTCATAACAACACATGAAAGACCTAGTAGATCACTAACACTACCACCATCAGATCAACAGTACTTAAAGCTTTCATCTTTCAAGGAAATCAAGATTCACTCTTGCTTCAGATCTGAAAAAAAAACCACAGGTGTTTCTGTCCATCCTTACACTGGGAGAAGACAACTCAACATTATGGGTCTGAACGGATGGGTAGCTGTCAAGAAGTTGTTACTGAGAAAAGGAAACAGGCAAGAAGAACATTTCTAAGGCAAACAAAGAAGTTGCTGGTGTTCTCAGAACAATGGACCAACCACTCTAGAGTCCAGACCTCAACATCACTGAATGTGTTTGGGATTACTTGGATCATGAGAAGATGAAAATGCAACCAACTTCTAAGACTGAACTTTGGAGGTGTGGTAAAAAAACAGTATGAATTCTAGGTCAAAAAATTAATTGCCTTGGCTTTCCATATGAAATAATAGTCTATAATGTTTTCTATATATTTTATATATTCGTAGTGCAATGGCTTAAGTTGTATTCTTAAAACATGTACCCTGTTTAAAAGAAGAAGAAGAGTTTGATTCATCTGTAATCATGTTGTCTATCATTAGTGCATCACAGTAACATTATCAACCCCATGCTGAAGCACAGGAAAGGTGCTGACATACAGCACAGCCATAACTGTGTCTAGTTCTTTTCAGCTTGTGGTACCATCAATCCACAGCTTAGCAATAACACATGTTCAGTGAGTTTAGTTTGTATGTAAGAGCCATTTAGGTTATTGGCGGGTGTTTGTGAAGGTGCTGTGCTCATCTGTCATTACCTGGCCTATTCATCAGACCCAAGCAAACAATACTGACAGCTGCTCAGCCTGCACTATCCGTAATGTTAAACAAGGCCAAAACAAAGCAAAACATAATATCTTTAGGATATATGTTAGAATAGGAGTTATATTATTTTAATTGCACCACAGTATTTTATATATATATATATATATATATATATGTGTGTGTGTGTGTGTGTGTGTGTGTGTGTGTATATTAAATGGACAGTTCATGCTCAAAAGCCCTCGAATGTGGCTGAATTAAAGCAACTCTGTAAAGGAAAGTGGGCCAAAATTCATCCACGGTGATATGAAAGACTGACACATGGGTGATACAGGTGTTGTAAAACTTTTTTCCTTCGATAAATGAAATGATCATTGCGATCATGTTTCATCATGCCTTATATGACATTTTGTATTAAGATAAGATAAAATGAAATAGTCCTTTATTGGTCCCACAACAGGGGAAATTCACAGTGCTACAGCAGCAAAGGGATAGCAATGCACTCAAGAATAGAAGTAACAAGAAGAGAATTAACAAAATAATTAACCTTGTTTTATATATATATATATATATATATATATATATATACACTATAAGACTATTTACAACTGCACATGGATGAATTCACAGTTTACCTACTGTAGGTGAGTGAGGTCTAACGGGGGGGGGCGGATGTAGGTGTGTGAGGGGTGGGGGGTGTTCTACTAGGAGCAGTGCTGGTTGTACAGTCTAACAGCAGCAGGAAGAAAGGACCTTTACACACTTGGGGGGAAGCAGCCTATCACTGAAGGAGCTGCCAGTGCTGAAAGAGTCTCATGCATGGGGTGGGAGCTGTTCTCCAGCATGGATGCTAGCTTAGCTAACATCCTCCTGTCTCCCACCACCTGCAGTGGGTCTAGCGGACTTCCCAGGACAGAGCTGGCCCTTTTAATGAGTCCCTTTCTGATCTGAAATCATTTAGTGTGACAAATATGCAAAAATAGAGGACAGTGTGTGGGGCCAAATACTTTTTCACAGTGCTGTAGATGTTTCAGAGTTGCGAAACCTGATCCACTGCAGTTTATTGTGTACAATAGTTAAACCACATTTATGACACAGCAGCCAAACTGTTTACTTCAGTATATCCCATCCATCCCATCCAACAGACAACAAGGGGCCTGTGTTGGTAAAGAAATAGCTCATTTGTGCTGTAATGATTTTAATATGTTTTATTTAGCATAATAATGATGTAAGTAGTGTGCAAGAGCATGTTGTTTCTTGGCCTTTGTGAGGAGGAATGCTGCAGTGCCATAAACACATCTTAATGCAATTGAATTAGGCAAGCTAAGATGCATTTGAATGTCCTTAGAGAAAAGCCAAGTCTTGTTTGGGCAGATTAGTGTCTTGTGTGCATTTGGTCGCCAACAGATTCGTGTCTGTTTGCTTGTCCAGTGCTGCATCTTAACAGCCAGTGGCTCCGTAGACAAGTTCAAAGAAGTGTAAAATAAAACTGATATTTATTTCTATCAAGGGACCAGTTGCCTAAAAACATCACAGCATTAGGACAATAGGGATGTGTTTAAAGTGGTACTTGCTTGACTGTCCTGAAGTGACCTTCGTGCTATGAAGCTTTTGGGAAGCTACGCTCTGCACCATCAGCAGGAAAATGAATTATTAAAGGGAGGCCATCATTGCAGAATAGATAAATAATGTTGAAACACTTGTATGCTTGAAAATGTTGCCTCTACTATTGTTTATAATCAGATAATTTAGGGGCTTTGAGCCAAAAAAAAAACAAAAATTATGTAAGCTACTGTCCTCTCCTTGAGCTGTTCAGAACTGTATTTTAGGTCATTAATGTATGGTCATCAAATCTCTTTCTGGACAGTTCTAGACATTTTAAAAGGGCCTATATCATGGAAAACTGGCTTAGTCTTGCTTTTTAAAAATAAATAAATAGCATGATGTTTTGTGTAAACACTGGTAAAGTTTCAAATCTTAGCATGCTGACACCGCCCAAAAAATAAACAATACAAAACATAGCTGGTGCAGAAGCATCTCATACACTGCAGTAATACAGTGTTTAAATCAATGTTCTTAGGAAACTAATTACATGACACACACATAAAAAAATGTTTTGTGTATTCCACATTGTATTCTTTCCAGTTGGCATTATTTTAACACTCTGAAGTTTGGTCAGGAGGTGGAGTAGTGCTTACAGGATACTTTTCGTTCTACTTTAGATAATGTGGCTAGACTGAAAAGTAAACGAATAAAGCAGAAAAAAAGTTTGCCCATTGTACAATGATCATATTCATGCTTGCAAACAGACCGTCAGACAACTAGAGTGTAAATGGCGCCTGACTAAACTAGAAGTATTAAAGTCCGCCTGGAAGAATAGTCTTATAGACTATAGAAGGGCACTTACTGCATAGCTTCTATGATAACTCAACCTATCTCTCCTCTCTGATTAAAACAAATAAGAATAAATACAGATTATTTTTTAGCACAATTTCTAAATTAACTAAGAACCAAACAGCTACTGAAATTCAAACACCATCAGCCTACAGCAGCAATGATTTCATGATTTTTATCAAAAATAAAATTGAAACGATTAGGCAAAAAATTCAGAATGCACAGTTAACCGCTACAAACCTGCTGCCCTACAAAGTCAATCCAGATCTTGAGTTTAGTGTAGCTACTGCAGAGAGGCTTACTTCACCAAATAAAGCTCAGTAAAATTTTCCTCCTCAAAATCTTCTACTTGCATAGTAGATCCAATTCCTTCAAATTCAAACTCCTCTCTTAGTATTGGCTATATACTCAAACCTCTTAAATTAGCAATAATTAAACCTCTTATTAAGGAACCCAATCTTGATCCCTGTGAGCTATCCAAATATAGACCTATCTCAAATCTTTCCTTTATATCAAAGATTTTGAAAAAAACCTGTGGTGCAACAACTAAGCCCATACTTGCATAGGAATCAAGTAAATGAAAAAAATCAGTCTGGATTTAGGCCTCATCATAGTACAGAGGCAGCACTAGTGAAAACTGTAAACAATCTCTTATTGTTCTCTGACCAAGGAAATATATCTTTATCATTCCGCTTGATCTTAGTGTAGCATTTGATATGATAGACCACTCTATCCTACTAGACAGGCTAGAAAACCTTGTAGGAATAACAGGAATAGCTCT